AGAGAGAGAGAGAGAGAGAGAGAGGAGATATCCGACGTCGCCCCCTATAAAAATGGCGATCCCGCTGCGATGTTCTCAGCAACTGCCCCTCTAAGAGCTTCTCCTAGCATAGAGAAAGAGAGGGCGGCAATGGCGGTGTGTTCGAGATCGAATCCCACACTACTATTGCTGCTGCTTGTTGGGTTGATGGTGGCCTTAGCAGGAGGTTTGGGATGGACCGGAAGCGAGAGATCCTCTGATTCGAGGTGCATTTCCATCGTCTTCGAGCTTCTTCCCCCGAAACGGGAATGTTTGGGTTTGAACATGGCGCTCCTGTTTGGAGCAGAGCCCCATAGATCGGATTAAGACTGTCCTCACGAGTTCTGTCTTTCTCGGGCTTGTTGCAGGAATGGCGGAGCTTCCCGGAGGATCTCGAGAGAGGCCGCCGCCACGAGCGCCGCTTCTTCCATGGAGGCGAGGTGAGCGCGGAACTCCGAGTTCAGTTTCCTTGGGACTCGTTTCTTGAACGATCTGGGCCATTCCAATTGATCCACAAGAAATCAGGGCCCGCCCCCTCGATCACCGTTTAATTCGTTCCAATCGCTCTTTATTGGTTCTTCGTCGTCACCATCATCGCTTTCTCTAAATCACATCACGGATTCTTTCTCTTCTCGATTCCCATCCCTCTTCCCGCTTGGTCGCCTCTTCGTCGGCGTTCGATTAGGTTTTTTTCCCCCACATTTTTTGGACTTCGATTCTGTGATTGACCGACCACCTCCAAGTGTCGATTTCTTTCTGTGTTAATATGTGACTTGCTCACGCCTCGCATGCTTAATCTTGTGCTAGGACTGCAACTAAGATGGCAGAAGCCGCAGTTGATGACCCGGAAGAGGTTGCTTCCGCTGTTCACATGTAAGTCTGTACCACCTCATTATATTTGTTGACAATATTTACCGACATAAATATTTAATGATGGAATAAGATCGAAAAAAAATATGATGATATCAGAGTGAAATGTCTGTATTCAGAACTTCTTTTAAAAAAGTTATAAATTAAGATCATATCTTTTCTAGTGGAGTAAGCTCTTAGATGGACTGATATTGGTCGGGAGATTTAAGAGTATGCTTATGTAAAAAAGATATATATATAAATAGTTCATATTTGTTTACTCAATTGTTTTTGTTCTTCTTTTCTTACATCGTCAAATATAATATCATTTTTCTATCTTGGAACTCTCGGGCTGTTTCAAGTTCGAGGATCAGAACTAGTCGCTCTCATGCGTTCTGTTTTGTTCATGGGTCTCTTCGGTTACAAAAGAATACATATCTCAGACTGATCAGTTAGCTCACACAGTTGTGGTGGAGCCAGAGAAACTTTTACTTGAAAGGTGCTGCAGTAGGTCTCCGATATGATCCTTGTTCTTCTGAAATGACCCTACCAGCTTTTCCTTGCAGCTGACTGATTGATCGATATATTCTGACGTTTATAGCCTCTATCGATTTACAAGAGTTCACTTTTTGCTGACAGGAGCATAAGCAACAGCACAGCTCGGAGGTCTCTTGGTTATCTGTCGTGCGGCACAGGCAACCCAATCGACGACTGCTGGCGGTGCGATCCCGACTGGCATCTTAACCGGAAAACGCTGGCTGACTGCGGGATTGGCTTCGGCCGCAATGCCATCGGCGGCCGTGACGGCGAATTCTACGTGGTAACGGACTCCGGGGATGATGATCCCGTGAATCCACGCCCGGGAACACTCAGGTACGCGGTCGTCCAGGATGACCCCCTGTGGATCACTTTTGAGCGTGACATGGTCATCACGCTCGACCAGGAGCTCATCATGAACAGTTTCAAGACCATCGATGGCCGCGGCGCAAACGTCCATATTGCCAATGGAGCTTGCATCACCATCCAGTATGTCACCAACGTCATCATCCACGGCCTCCACATCCATGACTGCAAGCCGACCGGCAATGCCATGGTCCGCAGCTCTCCTTCGCATTATGGATGGAGAACCATGGCTGATGGGGATGGTGTTTCCATCTTCGGCTCCAGCCATGTTTGGGTGGACCATTGCTCTCTCTCCAACTGCGCTGATGGGCTGGTTGATGCTGTCATGGGCTCCACCGCGATTACAGTGTCCAACAACTATTTCACCCACCACAACGAGGTATCCCTCTCTTGCATTGCTCTTGTTGTATTCAGTACTGATAGCTGATCTTTCTACAAGGTGTTATTTTTATACAACATACTGGTCACCTAATCCTTTTTCTTTCACAACCTGCATGCACTATCTAAGCGAGAGAGATCAAAATATGTAGCTACGAAAATGTTAATTTCCAAATCCAACTTCAAGAGGTACTTCCTTTTTGGGATAAGAAAAATCCAACAATAAATCACCTTATTTTTCAGTACTCTTTCTTGTTTAAGATCGATGTTATGATTGGCACTATGGAACACTGAAACAGACAAGTTGCTCTTTTAGCTTAGTGATCGTTGCTACTACTTATAGACATTGGTAGATAAATTTAGAGGTCTGCAGTGACTGCAACTTCACTGTGCCGTGTTGCTTAATGCCTTGAACTAGGTCGATTTATCTGAGTTCTGAAAATTGTCTCTTGCCGACATTCTTGGCCAAATTGATACAGGTAATGCTTTTGGGCCACAGTGATTCTTATGAAAGAGACAAGTCCATGCAAGTTACAATCGCATTTAACCATTTCGGTGAGGGACTGATTCAGAGAATGCCCAGGTAATTTACTGCATTCACGAGCACCAGAGATATAGTTCGATGCATTGTTTCCTTATGTGCGATTACAGGAATAACACAATTAATTGATACCAGAAGTAATCACTACAAGTGACGAATGTTTGTGGCACTTACAGGTGCAGGCATGGCTACTTCCATGTGGTAAACAATGACTACACACACTGGGAGATGTATGCCATTGGTGGTAGTGCAAGCCCGACCATCAACAGCCAGGGCAACCGATATCTTGCCCCGACCAATCCATTCGCAAAGGAGGTACAATAAGCAACCGACCACGTTGTTTCAAGGATTTTGCTTGAATTTGGATTAATCTATTCTGTCTATACTTTTGATTTGGATAGGTAACAAAAAGGGTGGACACAGATGCAAGCTTGTGGAAGAATTGGAACTGGAGGTCTGAGGGTGACCTCCTGCTAAATGGTGCTTATTTTACCCCCTCTGGTGCAGGGGCCTCAACTAGCTACGCAAGGGCCTCCAGCCTTGGAGCCAAGCCTTCCTCAATGGTTGGCACATTGACTTCTGATGCTGGGGCCCTGTCTTGCCGAGCTGGGACACAATGCTAAGAAGGCATGCCCTGCGGCAAAATGACATACCCAGAAGAAAGTGAATCTCTACTTGACAGTGTTACAACTTTTACGTTACACTGTCGACGATGCCATTTCTCCAATCGCCCAACCTCCGCCTGCTTCCATAATATGGAGCGCATGCAGAAGTGTTGTTTATTCCTTTATATCTACTTTCAGTGTTTTAGCTTCTAATATTTATACTCTCCTCTTTTACTCTCTATTTCTTTACGGTTTCTTTCCTTGCAGTAAGTAAAGCGTCGTAAATAGATTTAATTATACATTTCTATTAGTTTCATTGCCATACATGTAAGTTTGGTGGTTGCATTGACATAATAAAGAAGAATTACATATTAGTTACGGTCTAGTCTCTGCTAGTGTTCATCTGTTCTTGTGGGCTTCTTTCCCCGCAACCGTGGTTGTTGCCTTGTGTAGAAACTGCAGAAGATATTGTGACTTCATAGGTTGTATTGTGTTGTGTATCTTTATTTTGGCATTATAATGGCTATATTTGTGGTTGGATGTTATAAATTTTGACAATTTTTTTTTCTATAAATAAATGAATGACAGTGAAGCATCTAAAAATTGTTCTAAATAAACTAATACTATATAATGCCCTAATGGTTGATTCAGCGCAACAGAGAACATGGTTCCTCGGTTCCGAGGTCACAATTTAAGCTTATATACATATGGGACTAATTATGTCATCTAGTTAATTACTTTTGGTAATTAGATCTTTACATAATTAAATATTAAATTAATATTTTTATAATTATGAAAGTGAAATATCTAGATCCATTTATCATAAATTTATCGATTTTATTAATATAAATAAAAAATAAAAATATAATTTAACGTTCTAGTTAGTGGCGATAGACGATATGACGGATGATAGTGCTATTAGGAGCCATCGGTGGCTGTTGTGGATGAGAAGAGGCACGACAAGATGTGATGATTGTTTTACATCTACGTTAGTGTCGACGCAGTTGTCGAATGATCATTTCATTGTTTTGTATCTACGTTAGTGTCAACGTAGTTGTTGAGTGATGAAAGGGTCGTTAATGTAGATGTCAAGCAGTACGACTCTACATCTGTATCGACTTCGACATAGTTATAAAGCAATGAAAGGACCGTCGATGCTAAGCGACATCGCTTGATAATTACGTCAGCATCGATACAGATGTATAGTGTCTCTTACCTCTCACAATCGTTCTTCTCATCCACAATAGCCACTCGTACCTCCCAACGACATTCGCCACTACTAATTAGAATATTATTATATATATATATATATTTATTGATAGAATCGATGATGTTAGGGTAAATAAACTTAGATGTTTTATTTTCGTAATTATAGGAATATCAATATAATTTTTTTAAAGTTTAGAGACTCGAATGATAAAGATAACTAGTTTAGTTCCCCGCCTAGCTACGCACGAATCTTGTCGAATCCGTTACCTTGCGATCCGCCGTCCATATCTTCTCCCGCCACTTCCGATGGGAATGCCTGCGTCCGCATACAAGCAACACCGCTTCGCCTTATCCTATCAATCCCATCAGCACACATAGAGTGTACATATGCGCATAACTATATTTATGCGCGTGATTGGCGACCGAACCCTCCCCATAACTGCGCGTGTTGCTTTGACGCTTTTTCCTAGTCTGCGCTTGATATCGACGAGATATCGAAAAGATGGAGAAGGCGATCGATCGGCAGCAGGTCCTCCTCCAGCATCTCCGGCCCTCCCCTTCTTCTGCCCCCGGTGGTTCCCCTTTGATCTTGGTGAGAGGCTTCCCTCGTTCTCTTTTGATCGGAGAGTCCATGGATCGGTTGGGTTTGTTTTCGTGGTGTGGTAAATCGCCATGTTAGAGGGGACTCTTGGTTCGTTTGTTGCTTGTTTGGGTTGGTCGCCTGATCTGAGGGTTGGGTTCTGGGTTTGAATAGTTGGATGGTTGGCTTTGTGAGGGAAAATTAGGTTTCTTTTCTGGTTTAGACATCTAGTTCAATTGGGCCCTTCTAAATCTTGATTACAGGCTTCTTTCTGTACCGCTAGCGACAGTGCGGCCTATCAGAGGAACGCTTGCTTTGGGGATGACGTCGTGGTTGTCGTGTAAGTTATTATATGTTGATCCATTCTCAGTACTCAAGGCCAATTCGTTTCTTTCTTTAGGTTCTGTTAATCTTCGGAATTGGTCCCGCGTAGTTTTTTAGAAGCTCGTGACGCGACTTTAAGTGTTAAACGAAAATAAACCGCCAATCTTTTGTTAGGGAAGAAAATTAAGTTTCCTTTTTTAGGTTGTGCTAGTCTTTACAGTTGGTTCTTGTAGATTTTTAGAAGCTCGTAGCATCACTTAACTCTTAAACGATAAGAAATTGTAAATGTTTTTGTTATGGAAGAAAAAATTGTTTCTTTCTTTGGGTTGTGTTTATCTTTGGAATTTGTTGTGTATAGGTTTTTAAAAGCTCATGGCATGACTGAACTGTTAGATGAGAACTGTAAATCTTTTGTTAGGGAAGAAAAAAATTGTTTCTTTCTTTATATTTTTTGACGATCATAAATGGTTGTGTAGATTTCTAGAAGCTCGTAGCATGACTTAACTGTTAGATGAGAAAAAACTGTCGTTCATTTGTTAGGGAAGAACTGAACGATCACACATTGGAAAATAAATTTTAAAATTTGGTCATAATGATGCTTTTCTCCAGTTGCGTAAAAATCCTGTGTGGTTTATTGGCAAGAGTAATGAACCATTCTAAAGCAAATTAGTAACATACACGAAAAATCTGCTTTTTAGCCTTGAAGATTACTTACCATTTACTTGCACATGTATAAGTTGCTTCATGCATTCCCACTGTATAAGGATGATTGGCTGGTAATATTGACCTATGCACTTGCAATAGTGTTAACCATGTTGCTTCTTACCTCATTTCTAAATGCAGACAAGTTGATAGAGCGAACTGCTGCCGCCTAAAATGAAGAGAAAGTTGGTTCAACTATCAATACCTTCTGCCAAAGATCTATGTAACCAATATGCTTCATTCCAAAACTTTAGACCATTGATGATTTGCCATTTTTTCCCTAAATTTTGCTCCTGTTGGGTTTTGAGTACTTCAATGCTGGGATTTTTCTGACTTTTGTCCCTAGCCAGTAGGGCCTTCTTATTCCTTTGTGCAGCATATTGGTCACCGTGATTTGCTATAAATTATCACATTATGTATTTTTTTCAATAATCTCTGTTCAATGTTTCTCAATCCTACTACCCTATATTATAGTGCATACCGAACTGCAATTTGCAAGTCTAAGAGAGGGGGTTTCAAGGATACATACCCTGAGGAACTGCTTACTGCTGTGCTGAAGGTCTGTTTTTCTCATATTTGTGTTTCATGGCATAGTGTCTACAGAATGGAGATAATGTTGGAATCATTTTCTCTCTTTTAGGCATTGTTGGATAAAACTAGTCTGAATCCAAATGAAGTTGGTTATATTGTGGTTGGTGCTGTACTGGCACCAGGCTCTCAAAGAGCAACTGAATTCAGGATGGCAGCATTCTATGTTGGTTTTCCTGGTACTTCGACTCCCTGTTTTTTCTGCCATTGATGGCATTTTATGTACATTATTGTAACATCTTACAGCATGATTTTTTTATTTCCCCCATAGAAACTGTTCCAGTAAGAACAGTGAACAGACAGTGCTCATCAGGCCTTCAGGCAGTTGCTGATGTTGCTGCTGCTATTAAAGCTGGATTCTATGATATTGGTAAAAATATTTTGGTTTACCACTTTTATGCTTGCATAATAGTTCCAGGAATTGGTGCTGGGTTAGAATCGATGACTGCAAATATGTTGTCTTGGGAGGGTTCAATAAACCCAAAGGTATGTTCTTTGATCCTTGTTCAGTTCTCAGTTAGTTTCTGCATTTCTGTCTTCTACTACATGCTTTTGTCTTTGAATGCTTTAGGGAAACAAGTTTCAAAAAGCCCAAGATTGTCTGCTCCCCATGAGAATTATGGTTGAGAATGTTGCTCATCAATTTGGTGTGGCAAGACAAGAACAAGATCAGGCTGCTGTGAGTCTGTGGACATTGATTATATTCGTCCTATTAATAAATTTGTCATCTTAAATTCATTCTTACGATATTTTTCTTTGTTCAGGTTGAATCTCATAGGAAGGCAGCTGCTGCAACTGCTTCTGGTAAATTTAAAGAAGAAATAATTCCAGTGACCACAAAGGTGAATTATCCTATTTCAACACCTCTCTCTCTCTCTCTCTCTCTAATTTGGTAATTAAATATATTTTGGCCTTGAATCATTAAATAACTGTAGCATTCCAACATATACCATGTGAAAGTAATTACCGTTGCCCTCAGTTTAAAGCTGTTGCACCTGTCCTCACTTGGGTGTGTGGTTTTGATGATATGGTTTACTTCTTGAAGATTGTAGACCCAAAAACTGGGGAGGAAATGCAGGTGACAATTTCTGTGGTTGATGGAATCTGACCAGAAACATCTCTATCTGGTTTGGCAAAGCTAAAACCAGTTTTAAGAAGGATTCAAGGATGGAGGTACAACTGCTGGTAATAGAGTGTTTCTTTTATGTGATAAATTTGTTACCAGCTAGTTCTTTATTAGTGGTTATTAAGACGGAATAATTTATTGTAGGCAATTCAAGCCAAGTAAGTGATGGTGCTGGAGCAGTCCTCTTCATGAGGAGAGATGTAGCAATGCAAAAAGGGTTTCCTATACTTGGTGTATTCAGGTTAAATTTCCTTCATTTCACTAACAAAACTAATTTATTCTTGTACTAGTTTTCTATATCAATCATCCATGTCAATGACAATGGTTGCTTGAGGTCTTGCTCATTGCCTAATTGAGCTTATGTTGTACATGCATGTGTGCACACACAAGAAAAGAAAGGAAGAAAGAGAAGGTATACAAGTTGTCTTGTATGCATTTTCTCAGACGCAGATCAATTCTTGCTTAGCCGACTCGGTATATGCTCATATAGTATATGATTTGTTGGATGCCATAGGGAGTGTATTTGTAACTTTACTGAGGTAATGATATGAAAAACAGTTTCAGTATGAGGCTGACCTTATAACTAGTGGTTATGTGATAAGTTCAAGTTTGAAGGGGAACACACCTAAATAATATGTTTTTCTTAGTCGTGCGTGCTTGTGCCATATGGTGGTATGTGCATGAGCAGTGGTCACGTGTGGGTTTTGGGGGTTGACTTGCCTTGTACCCTTTGCTATGTGGTTGTTTTGAGCTTGCAAAAGTGTCCATTTAGTTTTGTTATATCAGTCATGTCCTTCGTAACCACGAGGTTATGAGTAAGTTGATCTTTTATGAGAAGGTGCCACACAGGTATCACACGACTAATGCAAGATTTAGCTCATTTTAAGATGTGCTCATATTGTGTATGTTTTGATGATTATTAATGATAGTGTAGTTATAGGTTTAATGTGGTAATAATATTAAAAATGGTTTACTTATGAGGAAAACCATTTTGGCTAGTGGTTTAGTAATTTGTGATTGGATGACCATAGTTACCAATGGACTTAGCGTAACCTAACATATTAACCTCAACTTTGAGTTCTTTGTGATTGGCTCAGGTTTTTCTCTGTTTTCTTATGGGGTCATTCATGTTTTGAGTATAGTGAAGGTTAACCTAAACTGCCATGACTTGATGGGATAACTGACCCATTATCTTGTTGGACTTGACTCGCTAGCTCAAAATGTTGAAATCCAACTAATGGTAGTACAGTCATCAAACTCTTAAAGAAGTCACTCCAAGTCTTTATCAACTTCCAATGTGGAAGTTGATAAAGACTTGGACTATGTTTCTTTAGTATACAGACCTATTTCAAAGCCTGGATGGATGACTATGTTTCTTTAGTAGACTGATATTGCAAAAGTGATCTTTAAGCTGCTAAATCATGTTGTATTTGCAGTTTATGTAATTCAAGTGTTGAGAAGGACTCACCTTGCAGGAGTATCTCAAATCTTTTTTCCATTTAAAAATGGTACTATGCTTGTATGATTTTAGATCATGTAAGTAACAAAAAGGAGAATGTCCTATCTTAGCCCACTGTTTTTTGTTTTTCTTGCATGCTGAAAGCTTCTGGGCAGATATCGACCTTTTGGTAGACAATACTACTTTATACTGTTCATATTTGGTATGAAATGACTGAAAATGCATGGTTAATCAAGAGTAAGCTAGAGAGAAAACTCTGTGGGCGAATAAGATTGTTAAAATCAATAATATTTTCAGCAGTCATTCACTTATGTGATCATTTGCAGGTGAAATTGGTTTCTAATGGGTGATTCCAAAATCGCAGTTGTGGAGGGTCCTTTTGAACTTCTTGTATGATTTACAACATCATTTTAAGTCTGGCATCCATTTGTTCATCATGCCATTTATTCTTGGAGAAAACAAACCATGGTTATATCGAATGTTGTTTTGTTGATTTCTCCCATCCAATCAAGACCGTTTGAGATATTCAAGTATGGAGACATTCTCAATTTGCTTTGCCTACCTTTGATAGAGTTGATGTTGGATATGATTAGTTCCATGCAACACTTGGATCTATCTTCCAAACAATTTGGTGAACCAGTTATTTTAGTTGTTCCACTAGGTTTAGGTGGTTGCATCTCACCGTTGCATATTGATGGAAGGTTTGCCTACCCTACTTTGATCATGAGACTGACAATATTAGCCGGAATTGCAAGAGCACCATTTTTCGTTCGTGTTCACTCGACTCGAGCTTTAACAGAGTATACAACGGTGAAGCCGCATGAATGGAAGCGGTTAAAGATGCACGCTTTTAACAGTGCTACAAGTTTCATTCATGTGGGGATCGATCGGCTATTCTTTACTCTGTTAAAAAAAATTATATAATGACTAAAAATTCATCTCGACCTTTTATCAGCCTCACATTAATAAGAATTCGATCATATAAGACAAATTCAAACTAATAGATAGGATTGATTCTTCTTCTCCCCTTTCTTGCAATGTACCTTCTTCTTCTTCTTCTTGTTCGCCATTGAAGTGACCATCACATCCAAGGAAATCAATTTAGTAATCTACTGATCAATCAATCCACGATAGATTGCCTGCTCTTTCCTTTTCCACTGACCATGATGCTGATGAGGAACAACACTTGACTTCAGCCTTTTCTTCCTTCATACATACGTATGTCTATATAGACATTAACTAACATCACTTCTTCCTTGCCAAGTAATATCAACATCACCTCATATGTATACATATTTTCATGGAAATCTACTTGCACTACATATCAGATTACACCCCCATATATATACACACCCCCCATATATATATATATATATATGAGAGAGAGAGAGAGAGAGAGAGAGAGAGAGAGAGAGAGAGAGCGTCGTCACGAAC